GATGGAGAGTAGTTCAGTTAGCGTCACTCACAAGAAGCTCTAAATTTCACAAATTTCAAACTCTGAGACGCTCTTTTAATTGTTGAAGTAATTTTTTTCTCAAGTCGGCCTCATTTCCATAAAAACATGTATGCTAATGAAGAAAAATATGAACGATGGCGGCAGACTCTCCTGTTGAGAGCGCTAGATAAAAAGTGAATTCAAACGACGTCTTCAAAAGGAAAAAAAAAAAACTTCCGAAAACAAAAGTACAAGAAAAACTACTTATTGAGAAAATCCTTGAAAATTATTTAGGATCTAGTATTAAAAAAAGAAAAAAATATTCCAATTGCGTTAGCTTGCGAACAGCCTCTCATTAACGCTGCCACACGAGCGGCGAAGCAGTTTCAAACCACCGAGAGAGCGATTTGATCGAGCGCAAGTTCGCAGTGCGAGCCTTCACGCAGGCCACTATTGCACCTTGATGAAGAAGGTTAAGGAATAGAATACTTAATTGTGTAAGAAGACGTTTAGCACTGTCACTAGAACATTGAACACACTCATGAACGTATGATGCGACATTTAGTTGCCAAAAGTGTTCCTCAGTCTTTTAAAACGAAATTCACTACGGAATAGTGACATCAAACAACTTTAAAATGACCTTAAAAACGTTAGGGTTTCATCGTCAGACTTAGAAAGAACAACCATAAGAAGCAGTTTCATCGAGAAGAACTCTGTAACTCTGATATGACTGCTCACCTTTAATCTGCTTTTCAGTGGTCGGCTTTTGAGACGCTGATAGCGATTCAGTCGTTACCAGAGTGCCATTATGAACCTTTAGCTCGAATGTCAAGGAGACTTTTCCGAGAGGATTTTCAGCAAAGCAGGAGTATTTGCCTTGGTCGTCGAGTCTGACTCCATTGATCTTTATGGTTTTGTCGTTGTTCAGCTTACTTACCCTTTCCGAGAGCTTTAAAGGTTGTTCGTCCTTGATCCATGTGATAGACGGTAGTGGAAGCCCTGTCACCGCACATCGTAACCGTTTTATGTCTCCAACTTCAGCAACATAACTACGTTTTGGAGTACCTTGAATGCGGAGTGCAAAATTTTCTAAAACGAGAAATAATCCAAATCCAAACTGTTCAATTTTCGAGAACAAGCATTACCCAGAGTAACACTCTTGGTAATAAATTGACCTATGAAACTTTTGAAATAGCGAGGATACCGGACCGACCTAAGACCTGTAACTAAAGGCAATCAGAAACATAAACACTTTTCTGATCAAAGACAAAAGTTTTTTACTTTCTGGTACTTGAACAGGCGTAGCTAAAGAATGAGATCTCAGAAAGAATTTCAAACTGGATTAATCATGGGCATCTATTACATGTTCCTGACAACCGCGAAAACTATATCGTTCGCTTTTTCCAAGCAACAACACAGGAAGTAAATAGGTGTATGCTTATTCCGTGAAGGAATATCCTGTGTAAAGGAATAAATATAAGTAAAAGGAAGAATCAATGTAAACATGACAGACGACGATGGTTGTCGATTGATTATTGTAGGTTAAAGCGAGAACTGCATACAAATGAACGAAGGCAGCGATCAACTATTTGGTCTTCTGTAAGTTTTGATCTCAAATGACGCGATTTTATAGAACATTGGAACACGATACTATTTGTACGATGTACTCATTTCAAACATTTATTCACCATTGTGCTTTAAGCTTCTTCCAGACGATGAACACGATGACTTTGATACTGACCCGAAAAAGAATCATCAGTAAGGGAAATATTATTTCTGATAGAAAATCTATGCCTCTCTCTGTCAAGTTAGAAAAGTTTTCTACTTTCTGGTACTTGAACAGGCGTAGCTAAAGAATGAGATCTCAAAAAGAATTTCAGACTGGATTGATCATGGGCATTAATTACACGTTCCTGACAACCACAAAAACTATATCGTTCGCTGTTTCCAAGCAACAACACAGGAAGTAAATAGGGGTATGCTTATTCCGTGAAGAAATATCCTGTGTCAACGCATAAATATCAGGAAAAGGAAGAATCAATGTACCCATGACAGACGACAATGCTTGTCGATTGATTATTGTAGGTTAAAGCGAGAATTGCATACAATTGAACAAAAGTAACAATCAACTATTTGGTCTTCTGTAAGTTTTGATCTCAAATGACACGATTGTACTTGTACTTGTACTTTTACTTGTACAATGTCCTCATTTGAAACATTTATTCACCATTGTGCTAATTCTTCTTCCTAACAATGAACACTATGACTTTCAGTTGTACTGACCCGAAGAAGAATCACTAGTAAGGGAAATATTATTTCTGAAAGACAATCTATCGCTCGGTCATATAGTGACGCTTATACGCATTATGATATTTCCATTGCGCACATTTTCATTTTCCCCTTAAAAGATTTCTCCGTGATACATACCTGAACATGCAGGGAAAGGAACCAAGGCCACACAAAAAAGTAACTCTAAAAAAATTGAAAGTGTGTCGTCCATGTTTGGCTCGAGGCTTGCAAAGCGAAGTCGACCAAGTCTGTTTTGGACGTGTTCAGATCCTTTTGTCTGACGTTGTACCAAAATGCAGTTGAGCATAACTAAGTTTCAAGGTCGAAAAAGGTTGAATAAATATCAGTAAAAGGAACGAGTAATATACCATGACTGACGATAATGCTTGTCGATTAATTATTGTACGTCAAGGCGAGTATTGCATACAAATGAACCAAAGTAGCGATCAATTATTTAGTTAGGAATGCACTCCAGAAATCGTTGCCGAGATGATTGCTCACAAAGCAAGTGTAGGGTCCAAAATCATCCTCAGTCACATTCACAATATTTACCTCAACACCATAATTATTTTTTATATTATTTAATTTGAGACCACATTCTCAGAACTACAATTACAAGAAATGTGTCGCAAACGGTTAGGATAATTTGGAGATAACGAGTTAAATCATTAGGTTTGATTAAGTAAGAACGTTTTCTAAGAAGTATGCTATACAGCGACTACGCAAAGCGGTGGTGCACAAATTGCTCGATATTTCAGTCTTATGGAGTGTGATGCAGGTCATGCCCTGAATGATCTGTTAAGCAAGTTTTGGTCACTAAATACTGGTGTTCCTGCTAAAGTACAGCCAAAAATACAGATATTATTGACCTATCTCAGGCAAAGTAGCAAGTAGATATATATTTCATACTGTGGATGCTAGGCCCTTTTCCCACAGAATATTCATGATTCTTAAATCTGGTTTATGCGTTTTGAAAACTGTACTGCTACTAAAACGAAAAAGAAAACATTTTGATTAAAATGAATGAATATTGTGGTAAGCTCTTAAGAAAGTAGATTAACACTGCTAGGTTTATAAATGTGCAAGACCACTTGATAAAATGCTTTATTTTACTTATTTGTCTAAAAGCGCTTCATATCTGTTTGTTGAATTTTCCCTTCCCTATTATAAATTGTAATTTCCTCACTTAGTGTGAGTAATGTTTAGTATGCAAAGAAAGCTAATTATGGAATGTAGTGTAAGCATCATATAATTTGAAGTGCACGCTAATTTAAGAGAAAAATTCTTTGTGAGTAGTCTTCAAAGTGAGTATTGATAAGTATTAATAGAAATAGGGGTTGTATTGTAAGTAACGTATGCATTGTTAGTATCGTAATTACTCTAAGTGCATTACGTAATGTTGGTATTGCACTGTACTATTTAAGTTAAAAGTTAATCACTCTAAAGACAATTGTTCAAAAAGAAAATAAAAATTAGAACAACCCATAACAATAAGGCATAACTAATTAAGCTGTTTGTATGAGAAAAACCGACTAGATTCCTTATGCTTACATGATTGTCACAAATATTTTTTTCATTCTTCGCTCCTTGACATAAGCCTTTATTCTCCCATTAAGCCACAAAAATGTTCACACTGAATAATCGAAATATAGGACATATTTACCCTCGGCGACACGATGTTAAGAAATAACTTGACATTCTTTTGCTTGGAATGTATGGGTTCATCGGGATTTTTGCCATCTAGAAAGTTGACCGTTTTCGAGAGCGAATATCTCGTAGAGAATTTTTGCTTAGTATCTATTGCACTTGATGAACAAGTAAAAGCCTGGAAGAGACTATCGATTACCTGTGATACCCACCGTATAAGAAGACGTTTATCGCGTCGCTTGAGTTAATTAAGTTACCATTAAGTTGACATTAAGTTGCCAAAAGTGTAACTGCAAATTTAATTTTTTAAAGTGAAAGTCACTACAAAGTAGTGACAGCAAACAACTTTATAGTCTGCTTTTCAATGGTCGTCTTTTGAGCCGCTGATAACGATTCAGTCGTTGCCAGATTGTCATTATGACGCACCTTTAGCTCTATTGTCAAATTGACTTTACCGAGAGGATTTTCAGCAAAGCAGTATAAGTGTTACTTCTGATAGAGAATCGACACCACAAAACCTCTCGAGATCCTTCTGAATTCAGAAACTGCGTAATTCGTTGTATGTTTTAAGCTTCAGAACACAGCTGTCATTTGCTATCGACCTTGCGGGAAAACCAAACGAAAGTAGTTTATTGGTTAGTGTTCGGCACTGCTGAATTGTATCGTGTGATCTTCCGAATGAAAAAGGCTGGGCAGTCTGAACAAGGCTATTGTATTTCTTAAGAAACTTACCCCCTTTATTGTGAGTGTAATCGCTAAAGGGGACCTACTTTTTGAGATACTGAATCTTCAATAGATTCCAGTGAAGAGTCTTTGTTCGTTAGAGATTTTTGAGTCTGGTTGAGAAAGCATGATCTAATTCATTGAATATGATTTATCAGTTTTGCCGAAACGTTGTTTTTTTTCTTTGTATTCAAGAAGCTTTGCACCACATGCGGTTTGTTAGATTTGATGATTAGGTATTGTTTGATTTTCATTTCCAGTGCTTTGATTATGTTGATGTCACGCATACGTTGTCCATAAGACTGGTGAGGTGGTGGTGAACGCTACCGTCGTCGTCCTGAGGAGTATGTTACAAGGTGTTGAACCATTTATGATGAAGAAGAAGTTATGAAAGTAGTTTGAAAAAAAAAGAAGTTTTGAGAATGATCGTATGAAATAGAACCAAACTGCCAGAGATACCTCCTTCAGCCATCGTAACATTTACCTAAAGCGACAAGTGCAAGGAACACTAATGTTTGGCAGATTGACTTTCTGACTGAAGTTTGAGAGAAGCAATGGGCTCCTGCCATCAATAACTGAGTATTATTACTTCAGTGGCTTCACGTTGCATTTTATTGAAGTAACATTCTGCCCAAAATGATCTTTTAGTGCATTTGTATTAGCTAGGGTACGGAGTAAGGAGGTTTCAAAAAGTTGCTTTAAACTTTATGTTACCGATTGTCATTACTTGAGGGGACAGTCATCCTACGACCCCTACAACGAGCTACGCGTGAGGGGAATCATGGGACATCATCAACAAACCTTTCATAGTTAAAAATGAATTGAAATGACCAAACTTGAGAGTGGAAATCTTTTTCGGGCATATCCGACCAAAAGATCTGAAAAGAAGAGTGTGAAACAGAATGCAAAGCACTGAGAAGTTAACATTGGAATAGCACTACATAAACTCCATTTGATCTGCACTATATAATTACACTTCCCTTTTAAATTTAACCAGACATCCGCTTTGCTTAAGGGGCACAGAAATCCAATTTCTTTGTGCTTTCGTGCTTGTCGGAAAGTTATGCAACCGCTTTTTTAGAATACCATTGCCTTTTCCTCCTTATGCTCTAAAAATATACTTAGCTACGGCTTTTTTCATAAGTTTCCTGCATTTTACAGGGTCACTTCAAAAGCTGCGCTCTGTTCAAAGATCATTCTATTTCCGCGAAGAAACATGCAGGGGTTGGACGAATGCAACGTAAAGGAATAACTGATTAAACTCCAGGTATGATATAACAACTGCAGACGAAATCTTGCAATTTACAAGGGAGACAAATCGTTAACCTTAAAGAGGAAAGTTAACTTAACCTGTGCCAGACTTGAAATATTAGCACACCACCAACTAAGAAGTAAAAAACCGGATGTGGGGCTTGGCTGGGGCTTAACTGAAAGATAAGCGTTGCTAACCGGACAAAACTCATTAATGTGAACTGTAAGTCAATAAAAACCAACAATTCGTAGCACAACGAGGACACTCGAAACAGTGATTATTATGATCTTAAGAAAATCGAGGAACACTTAACTGAGCTGAATGGTCAATCAGCCTTCTGCCATGTCACGCATTTCCTTTTTCCATTTTAAAATGATTCAGCCATAACCAACTCATCATTTGCCAATATCGGTTTTCAGTTACGTGGTTTTCTCACTGTAGTGAAGCCATGAAGTGGCCATGGTCTTACGCTCCAGGAATCATATTACGTGTAGTGGAATCCTATCCATAAGCCTTCACCTCTTTACACACGAACGCTTTTAAATAAAATGGTGATATTTACATGAATATGCTGTCGAAGAGGAAAAACTTATGGAAAAAGTGTACATTTTCGGCTTGAGGCATGCATGAGGTAAATCTGTATTGGGGATGACATTCGTACGCCCTCTTGTAGGTTGTTTGGGCGTCATGTAATCTGTGTTGGGCGAGGTGCCAACATGCAGGAGGTCATTGAAGCCAGCATAGACATGTCATCATTCAGTCAAGAGCAAATTAGCTCTTGAATTATTGGAAATTTGATTTGATCATTGTGTAAATTATTATTTTCCATTTACGGTGGTCTTCAGTGGAGATTTGTCATGTAGAATTTTTGGATTTATAAGAGGATGTAGTTAAACTTGTCATAATGAATCTGTAATGGTTTATGTTGCTATGATTACGTAAAAGATACTCGTGTGGTGAGATTGTTGAGGGAGGAAATCTCATTTTTTCCTTCAGGGTCCTTTAGGATCTATTTTCACTAATACTTCAGAAGTGAGTCTGGCTTGAATGATTATTCACCTCAGTTGACATATAGTACTGTCATATATTCCATTCCCTACGTAACGCCTGTAGTAGATGTGTAGAGCCACAGTTCAGTTTCATTATAAACTTCGATTTATAGCGTAACGATATGTGATAGTTTGCACTTTATAACTTCCCCGTCTAGTTTTATCTTCTTGGTAAAGAGTGTAGGGTGACTTACATTTCGATAACGTTCAGCAGGTTGAAGAATATATATTTTTGTCACTATGATACAATGGGTCGGTTAGACATAGTTTGATGCTACACTGGTTTGCAGATTTAATGAATGTAACCGAAGAAGTTACAATTCATAGACCCAACGTTTCCACACTCCTGTCTAGTGCCTTCATCAGGGTTTTAAGTTTAGTTTAGCCGTCGTATAACAAACCGTGTTTTAAGCCTTCTTCAATTTAGCCGAACTTTATCTAAGAATCAATTTTTTGTGAACAGTGTCAACAAGCCGAAACCTAAAAGTAGACGGACATCAATGAAATCAACCCTCTTATGGAGAATCACCGAGGCCTACTGCTTTCAGAAAACCGCGGTTTGGGTTAGATCTCGTTTAAATAAGCGGCCCTGTAACTTTGGTCAAGGAAGCATAATAACCAGCCTTCTTAGAGAAGTCATTGGGCAGTTTTTATCCCTCGTTGATGATGTGTCGTCCTGTACTGTTCTTCGTGAATAAGCGGCTTTTTAGCTTGCCGATAAATGTTTACATCTGTGTTGAAAGTGAAGTCTACTGCGCCAGTCTCCCAAGTATTGTATTAAGAGTCAAAATTGAGCTTACCTCATAGAAAGTTTGATTTTCGAGCTCTATAATCACGGTTTGTAAACGTTACAATTTACATGTTGATTTACATCTTGACTATTTCTTTTAAATAGACTGAAATGAAAAAATTGAAAAAGAAATAATCACCACATTAACTACAAAAAGAAAACTATCAACCCTGGTTAATTGTACCATATTTAAAAAGTTTTCATTAGATGAACTGTAAAATGTTCGTACTTCCGCGAGACAAAATGAAAAAGTTAAAAATACTACACGATTAGATCTCAAAGTTTTCCCTGTTTTGTCATTAGGGCGGAGTGATTGTCAGAACACTGAAGTTCTCTGTTTAGCACCTTGCCCGGCTTAGCGCTGATTTTAAAGAAAAAAAAAATGAACAAGCGGTTTTCCCGTTTTTCTTGTGTGACTAATGAACTTAGAAAACGGCCGCTCCTATTTATGCATACTTGTCCCAGCTATCAATCCTCATTTTCATCAAAACCTCGATGTGCATCTAAGAAGCCATCCATAGGACATAAGATTAAATGTGAAGTGATAATATTGGTTTAAAAACAGCAAAAAAACAACTAAAACAACAACACCAACAACAACAACGGCAATGTCTAATACTGGACAACATGAACGTAAACCAACAAGTCAGAGGTGCGAGTGCAAATAATGACCCATAGCTCGAATCCAGCTTCAGTTCTCATGGTTCTCATGGTAACATCAGAGCGGAAAATTCCTTCCTCGTTCATTAGAACTCTACCCCTGTTTTTGCTGCTCTTATTTTCTTGTGGTACAAGTGACACCAGAGGAGTGCGATAGTTGTGATGACCGCCCAGGTGCTAAGGACGCCTATGAACACACTCAAAGGTATCTTTGCCTCCCGGGATCGTGTTACCGCCTGTTTCGCTGGGGGGATCTCCTCTGTTGCGTTGGTTCCTAACGGCGGAAATATTTTCGTAGCAAGATTTCTTCAGTTTCTCCTAAAATACATTTATCTTTTAAAAGTTCTCTTCCTTTTTATTGCACTAGTGTGAAGACACCACAGCACTCTATAACTAACTGGTGTTGTAGAATTTGCCTTGTTAGTTGCGTTACGAATTGACTAAGTTTGTGATATTGCAGTAGTACCCGGAGCGCATTTTGGTAAACTCAAAACAACTTTAACACCAATTTTCCAGACATTTTGTTGATATAAACATTCGTTGTTTTACAAAGGTTCTACGTTTGCAACGTTTTGACAAACTATCGGTCAGGGAGTTGGAGAAATACTGAGAAATCAAGCATCAAGGTATGAAAAACTGAAGAAAGAAAGAAGGAAGGAAGCCACTGACATACCCCTTAATGGCGGAGATCCTGTACTCTCGTGATTTGCGAAGTCCTTTTCCTCAGGCTTCTCTGTCGTAACTGAAAAGACATCTGCAGGTCAGTGATACGAGTAACACTTTTAGAACCCACGTGCTCTCAAAGTCATACTAGCGATAAATAACAGAAAAGACAACTTGTGATCACTTAAGGATCATTGCGTTCAAGCTTATCCCTGTTTCATAGCATGAAGCGACTTAGAGAATTGTTATTTCCACTTAGACGGAATGCCTGTCCATCGCAAGGTTACCCTTCAGCCCTTCGTTAGGTTTTTTTGACAGTTTGTTTATACAACTGGGTGGAGAGGGGCGCTGTAAGAGTAAAGCTTCTTACCAGAGAAATAACAAATTCACAAAATTATGGCTCAAACCCAAACCTATTGATCCGTGTCTCAGACTCATATGGCACAAAAATGTACTTTGCGACCCTTCGATATGACAAAAAGGCAACAATTGCATTTCCTTTAAACTTAAAAGATTGAGGTCGAAATACAACGACACTGATCTTTTATAGATGCACGATATGAGTGACAATAAGTAATTGCTTGTGGGGTCGTTTTTGTAACAAAAGCAAGATTGCGAATAGCAATATATAAAGTATTATATAAAGCTTAGTCTTAAAGTAGTTTCCAAGTTATAGTGGACTAATTCAGAATGGCTAAGGTAGAGAGAAATGGAGATGACGTTAAAGCTAAAAGCATCTAGGGTCATCTAGCTTGCAAGACAAACAGGCTGCGTCATTGTTTGGTTATAGACATAATCCTAGTGAATTATCCCATGGAAATCAGTGTTAAGTGCCCTCCTGACGAGCTAATTGGTTGAACAAATATTAAAAGTGATATCTTGACTTATTGTAAATGAATATTCCTTCCGTATGAGTTGTTCATCTTTGCCAAATCTGAAAAAGCTAACTACAGGCGGATATTGGAAAATCTCATCAACTACCCAACCTGCTGAGTTGCTCGAATACATCTCAGCGGAGTCCGCCATTTTCAACCTATTTATGCAGAGGAAGACTGCGGGAACTTTATTCATTTTAGAATGGGTTGTCCAGACTATCATGCAGGGCGAAAGGAAATCAGATTTTAGCGTAAATAGATTAAGAAAGATGGTAAATTTTTAGTTTAGTCGTTGAACAAAAATGGCAAAAGGTTTTTGTTTTAGCGCTTTACAGAGCATGTACTTATTTTAATCCATATAAATTTTTAAAAGTTTCTAGTACTGTTGATGATATTGTTGCTGTGTATAATGTATGGAACACACTCGATAGAAGTAGTTCCATTTCTTTTCTTTGGCTCCTTATCATCTCCCTGCAGTGAATGACGCTCACATACTTTCTCACGATCATATTTTCATAAGACGACCATAGAAGTAGAAAAAAAAGCTTAAAATTCTTAATGATGCAAAAAGATGACCAGCTATGGATTCATTGTAACTAATTATTGATAGACATTTGCTTTAGAGTTTCATACCAAAAGGGAGATCAAAACATATTTCCAAAATGAAGGAAAAAAATTCCCAGTTAATGTTGTCTTATCTCAAATATGATTAACTCAGTGAGCAACTTTTTATCATAACAGGAAACGGAAATAACATCCTTTGAATCTAAGCCGTCTCTTTCCGGCAAAAGAACCTGATTAGAGGGTTATGGCCTCAAGCCATCGTTACTACTTCATTTATTTCAATGATTTGTGTCCACAATCAATTAAACAATGTTTGCCTTATTATTCCGGCAGATTGGCACTTTGCTCTTTGCATTACTTCAAGCAATAACGGAGATAAAAGTCATTTCCATTAAACACCGTACATGTAGAGTGCAACTTCGCTCTCGTATTGCAAAACTTGAAACAATTCGATAAAACAGTGGGTTCGAGCCAGCTATTCGTAAATGATTCCAAAATATCACTCAAATGGCTGTGAGTTCAAATTAGCAGAATGTTCGAGTTAACCTGGTGCGATTTTGCGATGCTGTATCGTTTCTTCACATCCCATCATGTAATTGAACGATTTTACGTATACCATTTCGACAAAACACCGCAGAGTTCGTTCAGTCCTTAGCTTACCTTCAGATTCTTTTCTCCTGTCCTTTTCCTCGGTTAAAAACGCACTCATGTAGTCAGAACCAAGGTGATTGCTAACGTAACACGTATACAGGCCCAAATCGTTGGGTTGGACGTTCCAAATATTCACTTTCACGCCATACTTTCCTCCAACGTGAACCGTCTGATATTGCCGAGGGTTGACAAGGGTGTACGATCCGTTCTCAAAATCAAGCGAGTCGGGGAAAGTGCTTGGAATAGTGTTCCACCTAAGCCATCTAAAATCTGGTAGTGTTCCACTGATAAGAACGATGCAAGTCATTGAAGCGTTCTGTCCAAGCTCTGCGCTGGTGTTTCTAGGAAAGCCACACTTCAGAATAGGCTTGGTGCGAGATTTTTCTGTAAAAAGAGTAGAAGCTTGATCAATAAAAGATGGAAGTTATCTGCATTTCAGAACAAGCTTTCTTCAAGATTTTCTGCAAAAGTAATACAATGATAATTAAAACGACGAAATTTCTCTAATTTTCAGAATGCAAACTTGATGATAACCTGGCTTTTAATGGCGGAAGGCGTTTGGCGGAAAAGCGTTTCGTTCATTTAAAATCTCGTTATGCCCTCTAAGAATAAATAGACATTCTAAAACCCAAGATTGGAATGAAAGCAAACTATCCATGTGAAATTGTTTTGCGACGTAACATAACGATTTGGGTTTTCAGGCAGCTATGATCATAATCCTCGCTTCAGCTCTATATTCAGCGTTTTATCTTTGCTTCCAACACATCTTCATAGCAGTTTTTAAGAGTCTTTTTATGTCAGGAAATAGTTTAAGGTAGCACGTTCCCCAAAAATGTCTGCTTAGATTCTCTTTGCTGCTGTTACATTCGACATTTCTGTACAAAAACTAAAAATATCGGTGATTGCGCACTTACTCATAATTTAGTCAGGAGGTGAAATTATTTATGCAGTTTTCTTTTGCAAATCTTAAGGTCTTTCACAATGTCAATTATAACTCATTACTCTGCTTATTACCTACAACTCGTAGGGTATAGGTATGATTGATGGAGCCATATGTGTTGGAAACTATACAAGTATATTTCCCAGAGTCTAATGGCACCAAGTCTTTAAGCTTCAGGTACCACATATTTGTTTTGAGTCTCGGTTGTAATCTTCGATGAATGGATGGATCACCATCCTTTAGCCACTGGAATCTTAACGGACTTGAGCCACTGGCTTTGCATTTAAGTCGGACGCTGTGGCGTGCGGGCCATGCAATAAAAGTCTGTTGCATCCTGATGGAGTCCACAAATCTTGGAGACGCTAGCATGGAAGAACCAAAGTAAATCGGTAAAGACCTAGGAAGCAACTAGGTGCATTTCACCTCTGTGGAATGTTTCCACTAAAGAAAGCATTATAGGGTGCAGGGTACATCATCATCATCTTTTTTCAGCCAGTTGAGAAGTAATATATTTACAAATTCCACGGCATGGTGTGCGAGGACACCTCCATGAAGCCACCGAGCTCACAAGGGAAGCCCTTTCGATTGTCAATACGTTTGTAGTTTGGTTGTGGATGTGCCACATCAGATTCATTTTATTAAAAACTCCATAACTTTTTTTTTTTAATGCAGTAAAGGTAGTCGAACCGGTGATCGATATTGGGCGAGAATTGCAAATCTTATAACCGTGGAGTTATAAAATTAGTAAGATTAGTATGACGATGATGTGGTCGACAATAATTGGGTATTCTTGTGTTTTGTCATAACTGTGAATTTGAGTTCTTGTAGGAAACAAACTGAGAAACAACTTAGACGGGTGGTTATCATAATAAAACATTCAGCAAATTAGGCATTGCCTGATGACATAGGGTTTGTACGCTTGCTCACAAAGGGATTTGTTTAAAAGCCTTTTTAAGTCGCTTGTTTGTTCATCTCAGTTAGGATGCCTTTAACTGAAGATCCAAATAACTTCACGCAAATGAAGGGTTACTTGCTTTGTAACTTCCTAACTGCTTAGTTTGAGTCAATGGATGTAAGCATATCTTGTCGGAATTGAGGACACGTTAATGGTGCTAAATTAAAAAACGTGTTTACCAGAAGTATGGTGTGAAACCGAATGATTGTAGAGGTATATTTGGATACGTAAATCATTGCGATCTCACAAGGCCAAAGTCAATACCGTTATCTTGATAAGTTTTAAAAGTTTTCAGCGACTTTGGAGTTTTTTTCCTCCTTAACCATGGCCAATGACAATTGCGAGTAACTGCATCTATTGTGTATTCCAGCAACCTTGCTTTTCTAATGAATCTACCAAAGACCCCCAAACTCTGACCTCTTGGATTCACTGAGAGCTTTTTTCAATGACAAAAGATAACAGTACGAAATTGTTTTCATCAATATTTAAAGGGCCGGCTTATAATTTTCCTTTTTTGGAGGGAACTAAAAGCTTACATCACCTTTCCTTAATTTTTTATAAGGAGTTTGCCTTCTAAGAATGGTGACAATAAAAATGTATTAACTAAGTACGATAATTGACAAACCAGACTTGAACGGAAAAAAAGAAGATTTATCGAACTTTTTTCGAGAAGTGGTTTATGTTGCTTTTAAGTTGACTAAGTGTAACAGAGCCTAGTTTCCTTACCTGATGAAGGTGACGATGTTGGTTGTCCTTTGTAAATCAAGCCATTGCTCCCTAAAGAGGAACAAGAAAAACGTGTTTTGTGCTTATTGTGAAAGAGAGCGGGGAGAAGAGAGTCTGTTTGTCTGATCCAACAGTGCTTGCTTCAAAATAGGTTACTTTTAAATAGGTAAATTTTGTGCGAAGATCAGCTGCGTTGAACTTTCACAAGATCTCTTGTGAAACATTTTTACATCACAACGAATTGCAATAGGAACAAGCAGTCAGTGGATTGTTGACATCTTCGTGTTACAATAGATTTTTCGTAGGTACTCCAAACCTGTTGAAGCACAGTGGTCTTGTTCGATAGAAATGTCCCTATAAAAAAGTGTTGCACGACTCTCATACTGGCCAAAACAGAGAAAGCTCATTTAATGTAAACATCGTCGACGTAAATATTTCGTCAAAATAAGTTTTAGTAGCGGGCCTCTGGCCGTGCAAATTTGTAGTCAGAGTTGATCGTGAACATGAAAAACTTTCAATGAAACCACGAACAAACTAACAATTTCCTTTAGAATTTTTACCTGATGAAGACGATGACAGTGCATTACTGATCGAATGGTCGTTTTCTGAAGACCGAGGAAAGAAAGCCACGATTTAAGAGTCATCTGAAGGAGGAGATTTAAGTCCAGTCAATCGGCTCATTTCTGTTCATTTGAACAACTCTTTCAGAGTTCGTGCGACTAAAGCCTCATTCGAAGAATGACTGCCATTATTTTACACGACAAAGGTCAACTCACTCTTCAGTAGGAGGTGAAAAATACTAGAATCATTCACATGATGCGACATACACTTCTAGAATTTCCCAGGCCGGAATGAAAGGTTACAACCCAGGCGGATGTACAACTGTCAGTGAGTGAATTTACCGATATGACCATTATTTAATGCAATAACAACTAAGTTCATGCTCTGTTTTTTGTCTAAGTCTTTCAATCCAGGATGACAGACTGCGCACTTTCTATGTTGTCTTTGACCCGTTATTAAAACGACGTTCAATTATAGGTGACGGAAAGACATAGGGAGTACACATTATTCTTGCTGTAATTGGGCGTTTAGCGCACGGTACAAAGGAACTATTGAAAAGGGACTAGAAATTAATGAACGTGTTTGAGTGTTTGGTTTGATAACACGCTCTCTTGTGTCGTGTCACATAAATACCTGGCCGAATTATGCATCGGTTGCTCAAACATTATTCCATTTGTGTAAAAATATGATTGCGATCATGTCATAGATAACCTTGCCAAACGAAAATGATTTCATCAAAGTTTTCTGAACTGCAAAGCTCGATTTATGTTCCGTCGGAGTCATCGTATCATGTGCCGATTCAGCTCCGGGCATCTTGGACAAAAATAAGTAATATTCAACGATCAAGGTCTAAAGAATGGTTACAGATTTTCCTGATGTAGATCCTTTAGAACTGACGCGCAGTTAAGCCCTGCGTCTCGCAGGAGAAGAGAATCACTCTCCAGTACATCTGATTTTGTTCCAAGAGGAAGAATAGAAACAAGAACAATGCATATTTTCATGCGGTGAGTTATTTCGAGAAACTAATTGGATGCAAGTGTTTCAAGTCTGAAACAACGCAAGATAAGGACACATTTTATCAGTGATAATGCAACATCTTGACGCTTAAAAGGTAGATCCTGACACCTTTTAAACGGTGTGCAGTTAAAATACAATCTACAAGGAAGCAGATCGCAGTTGTAGAAATGATTTATAGCCCATATATATTTTTTTAAGGACTTCATGTTTTGTCCTTTAGGTATCGAGAGAAACTGGCAGCAGAAGGTAAGGAGATCGGTGGCTATCTTTTTGGATGGTTACTTATTACCGCTTTATCTCTAAACAACCCTGAATTATTGGTATGGAATGTTACTACAGTTTGGTCTCGGCAGAGGGTTGTTTCAGGAAAAAATTAAATGTCTTTTTTTTATGTCGTAGAAGTAGAAATTATGACAATAATCAAACCTCCTCCTTCAGAACCTTCTAATTGCAGGATGACGAGTCGCGTGCTAACAGATTTTTAAATCTAATATGATTAATTTGATGTCATAGACGCATGAGAAATTGGGAATGATACCCTTCTTTACATGTTACCGAAACGAGGAACACGAGAATCCTTGACCTATGAGATGGATATTCACTTGTTGAAAGCCTCCGAGCGGGATGGTTGTTACGAACAGACCCTTCCGAGGGCATTGTTGTTAATCATGTTGATCGAACCATCATTTTTTTAGTCGAAGACAGACCTCATGGCATTAGATAGATAATGTTGACAGGAGAAGCAAAACTATCCGGGATAAAGTATCCTTTACGGAAATTGCGCGGCAAAAGATCTTTACAAATTGAGATAGGGGCAAGCACTTCACTTTGCATTGAAATGCGGACTGTTTCTCAACCAGCTGCTTGCATGCTTAAGAATACCCAAGATGTAAAACTGTGAAACAGGCTGTGGTCCTGCTTTAGAAGCTGTTATGTATTTTTATTGGGAAAAACTGGTCGTCCCTTGTCATATGTTCCCCTGCTGATTATCATGGACCATTGTTTTTGACGTTATTAATGTTGTTCTAGATCATTCGTTCATTCCCTAAACAGTAAATAAATGAGTTGTTTTTGTTGAACGCCATGAAACGTTATAGGAAGAACATTGTGTTTTACAGTATCCTCTGTTTGAGAAACCTATTTGATGGTTTTCAAAATGCTCTTTTTTTTTAAGGTGATAATGGTCTTTGTTGGCCTTTGGAAGGCCTCGAAACACAGTCAATTGTTTTTGATGTACCTGCTGATTTGTCGGAAATGTGGAATGTTTTCTTCCTTAATGATGAAAATATTTTGACTGTAAAAGAACAGCATGCTCTTATCAGAAAAACGGTGAACAGAACAGACGATGGAAGCCAAATCATTGGTGTATACAGCATTGGTACTGATCTATCGCCCACGCCATCCGAACTGGGCTGATTCTAACACTGTGCAATTGCCAAAAAAAAGGTGTGCACGCCCGCAGTTCTTTCCACAGAACATTTATTTGTTCGTTTACGACACATTAAAAGTAATAGAAGTTTTTCACCCTTTGGCAGATGAATCGCTTGCACCTCCCTGGCGTAATATGGACGAAGATTAGGGACATCCGCGTCACACTGAGAATCATCGCCCGAGGGAGGGTGTCTAAATAATATTACTTGTTGGCTACTGTGATGCATTATCCAAAGAAACGTAATTCATTGGAATTTAAGTTATATCTTTCCTTCATACCTGCTTCATCCATTGCAATTTGCATTGCGAATGTCCATGCGGCGAAAATAACTCTCCAAACCTCCCTTTTCCTCATTTTCAACCTCTCACCTTGGCCGTAAATTAGCGGTGTATCTTTATCCCTCGTTGTGTAAGGCGTTTGTGTTTTAAGGGTGTTGTGCAGCTTGTTTGTATTAGAGTTGGCACGCTGTAGCCAGAAGTACGACCAGATATCGTGCGGTCTGGCGCCAGATGGCGGAACCTTAATGTTTTATCAGGAAGGAAGTTATCTTTGTTAGAAGCTCATTCCTTGGTGCTGGGATGGTTTAGATCTCTCAACTTACTTGCGTTTGACAAGGCTTTTCTATTTTAGATGCTCAAACAGCTTACATAAAGGTTGTGGGACACCAGAGATGACTCCTCGGTTGCGTCCGTCCTACGTATTGGCGTGATCTGAACAACCTGCAGGTTAAATACCATCGGTCATATATACAAACCAAGGCTTCAAGGGATCGACCACTTGTAGTCGTAAACAACAAAGTCATGTTTCTATTTTAGCCGTCTGCTTACCGTCTTGGTTAATTTCAAAAGTCTGTTATCTTGCCCAAATGGGTTAATTCTGACATAGATGATATCAGTCACAGTGCACGACCGAGAAATCGGCTTTCAGTTTTACACCTGATTTTCTTGAAAAACGTTGAAAGTATTTTGTAATGGATCGCGTACTTGGGAACCTGCTGGGCCAGTACATCACAGCCTTTAGCTCGGCTTGTAAGCGTTTTATGCGTTCATAACCATCAGTTCAAGTAAACGGCTGGTTTTGATATCTGCTGATATCACAGCGTTCTGTCCCGATTCAGAACGGCTCAGTAAACTTAAGCTTGTCGTGTACGCGATTGATAAAGGTAACAGTGCAATCAGATCAGCTTAATTATCGACGGGAAGAGATTACGTTGTCGTAATGAAAGCAGGCGGGTACACTCAAGTGGAAAAGCTCTCTAATGGATTTTATTGTCAACGAGAAACGGAAGAAATTCAGTTTAGTGACAAGAACCTGGCGCACAACTTATCTTACTCCCTGGCCTTCCTCATCAAACTAATGAATTGAATAAATCAGGAAAAGGAAAGGCTATGAGACTGTCCTAAATATTTCTGTTCATCCTCATACGTTGTGAGCGGGAGTCTTAAGTGTGTGATGGCAGGGATACGATTCTCAAAGTCTCAAAGTACGATTCTCATTTCGGGCATTAACAATAAAGAAGACTTAGACGTTCGAACAAAGAGAGCAAAGTTTACACGAATGAAATTTAGTCTTAATCTTCTCTATTTTTACCCTCAGGCTCTCTTGATTTCTGTGTTTCCTTTCAGTCTTTCTGCAAATGTTAACCTTAAATTAGACGTTTTTTGATCCTAATGGCTGGTCTGTAAAAAAAAAAACACTAGTGACACTTTCTGCCACGTTCTTTTTTTTGTTTTGTTTTGTGTTGTTGATTTTTTTTATCTTAGTAGACCTTGGATTACTTTTTTTATGTAACAGTAAGGATATGAAGATGAAACGAAACGGGTTGGATTTCAAATTTCACGTACTTTTTAGAGATGATTTCGGACCACCAAGTGATTTTCTTTGCAATTGATGGCACTCAATTGTGCCAATTAAGGTATTGATCAGTGTGAAGCAGTTTTAGGATAACAGAATATTGCTTTCATTTCCTGTGGAAAATTTTCACTCCTAACAAACGGTCTATTGTTTGCTTTTACAGATTGGTAGTTCTGGGCTTACTCTGGCCTATAATTTTTTCTTCTTGAGAAATCTCAGCGGAGAAACCGATCTCTCCTGAAGCGTTTGTTAGTGTTCTGAGGTGAGGCTGAGCAAAACTTGTGCCTGAAGATAAGACAATTGATATATTTTAAGCTCTTGTAAATCTAAAACGGCTGGAAGTTAAAAATGGAATCAAAGCTGATAGCTGACTCATTGTCGTTGCGAAATATGAACTTGATTTAAGAGTGTTTAGAGGCAACTTACTTCTAAAGAGATTTCATCTTCCTCATAATCTTCCTTTCGGGATTTGATCTCGGATGAGATTGAAAGCGAGGGCTTTCTCGTGCTGTTCATTTGATTGGGTGCAGTGCGGGCGTACTTTAAACCCACAATCGGATAATTAAATTTTTGAAGGAAAGAAGTCCGTTCTACTTTTCTTTCTTTCTTTTTTTCTTTATTTTTTTGCGTAGCATCACCGGCAATCGCGAGGCTTACGTCACTCCCCCTTCGCGTTCGTTTCGCATTCGCCTCGGCCCGTCTGAATTTCGCCTTTTATGCAGGCTACTCTTCTATATGCTACGAAATTGCCATCCAGGCCGAAGCAGGAAAAGTAATATAGTATTTCAACAAGTTTTTCGACAGCGCATTCCGGCCAAGAGAATATGATACACCGTGAATAAAGTTGTCAACGCTTGAGCACTGTCCAAAACCAAGCACGAGTTGAGGTGATAGTAAATCGCCTTATTGTTCATTCTACAACTACTTAAATATACGCCGACCTAATTTTATTTTTGTTTCCCTGAAATCCAGGATAAGGTTTCAGGAAGTCCACAAAAACAATCGAATTTGAATGTAAACATTTAAATTCTTTTAATGGATTACAGACTTACGCTCTTCAATAATCACAAGGATTTCCTGCTCAAATCGACACAAAACTACAAGATACACACTTGTTAAGCTAATTAAAAAACCACAGTTCTTTCTTAGCTAAGCTGCTTTGAAGCTGGCTTATTTAGCTCTATTAGGCGGAAAGTCACCACAGTCAACGTAAGCTCCATAGAGCTTAAGATTAGAGAAAATGGTTTAAACTTTTGGATGCCGAAGTTAATGTACGTTAGATAGAAATTCCCCTTTTTAATTACTTGATAGAAAACGGCTGCTTCAGGAAATGACATGCAGGCGGTAGACTTTGAAGTTTTTTCGAGAAATAACTTCTCTCACTGGGTTTTTTTGGATAAACTCATATTTCAAGAATTATATTGCCAGACGAAAAAGCCGCACGTTATACTTCTTTTACACGTAAATTTATATCACTGAGATTCCAAACATATCCAAAAACATTCGTTGTATGTTCTTGTGCACATGATTTTTCGCAATTTCTTTTTTTAAGCTGGTTGAAGTCAAATTCCATCGCCTGAATCTCTATTTTTAGTAGAGAAGATTCATAGTTGAACCTCTTACAATTCTTAATTAAAATTGGCCAAAGAACTCTCGACCATTGAACCTTAATTTTTAAATTACATCTAGTGTAATTTAGTTGTGATCCCAAACACGTTCAACAAGGACTCCCGCTGAAAGGACACAAAAGGAAATTGCTAATTTATTTATCTTAGCTTTCTCAAGTGATTTAAGTAGGGAATTCGCTGGGTTTGCAGCTCCAGTTGATTAATCGTGTTTTTCAAGTTTTATAATTCATAATACAATTCACTAAAATTATTTACGTATAAAAATAGCAAAGCCGTTGTATTTGAGTTCCTATTCTATCTCAATGACCAAAGGAAACTTTAAGAATAATAATGTACGCACAGCCCAAACTTAGCTTTGTCCTTTCAGCGTATTTTTTACCTCAAGGGACGAAAAAATGGAATCAGGTCAAGTTTGGTTGAAGAAAGCGGCTCTTCCCACAGCAACCACTTCCGTCGTTTCTTCATGGATAAGAGTGGGTCCTCCTGCATAACTAATCAAATTACGCATTGACCAATAGTCTGTCAAACCCCCTCGATACCACGAGGACTGAGTCTTCGCTGAAGTGGGAATTTTGCGGCTTTGAAAGAGTGTTACGGCCATTGTTTTCTCAATTAAGCAACCACAAAATATGTTGCTTTTGATGCATCATTCCGGCCTAGACTTTGAGTATTTTATATCTTTTTTTAATCTTGAAACACGCGTCGTGGTATCATTTACCATCGATGGTACCTTTTTTGGTTATGGGGGAGCAAACACACATACCATTGATTACCTGCTGTAGAATTGTGCACTTTTTAACCAGCTCGCCAAACAGAAAGGTAACCAGGTTGTCGTTAATGGTTGTCCTTTTAGATTTTTAACATGCACCTGGACAGTAAGGATATTATACACTCAATGTATTGTCCCGAGGGAAACAGTGAGTTTTGTTTTCCCTGGAGTCCTAATGTTTCCCTAGACAAAGTCGAGAGAAACTAACTAGTTTACCGTGGGACCATACATTAAGTGCTTTGTTACATATTTAGACTTTCCCTTAAACAATCATGTGCTGTTGTATTCGGCGCGCGGGCAACTGCGCAATTGTATCCTGGTCGGGATAAATTTGAATTTGATCAAGGGTACGTGACCAAAAATCAACCATTCACATTGCTCGTCTTGTTGAGTGAAAGTCTAGGTATATAACAAGAACATATGTACCTACTCTACAAGCTAAGGACTTTTTGAGCATGGTTTACCACTGAGCATCAACACTTTGCAATGTTTTTCACGATATTTAAGGAAAACATGATCATTTAGTGCATTTTTCGTTGCCCATACCAAACGGACCTTTTTTGCTATAGAGAAGCATACCACACTTTGCACAGTATGAGTCAGTAAATATTTCGTCACGACCCAACTGAAAATAGTTTTACAAGGCTACTTTTTAAATAGTCGCACAACTCATTTTTCATCATATTAAAGTTTGAGGTTGAGTTTTAAATCACCAAAACACGGAATTCACTTTGGTTTACTAAGCTGAACTAGTAATCAAACCATTTGAGAGAGATTTGCAACGTTAAACTACTCGGAACATGTAATTTGGTCTGCAACGATCATCTGAACGTAAATTCATGGATTTGCTTGTTCTTCTAACTCCGAGAGCGATAAACTCAGCTAGTAAACTCAAATTTGATAAGAGCTGATAAATCTATGCGTCAATGCAAACGAACCTCTGGAACAGCAGTTTCATAAATTTTCATTAAAAGCAATCGCAAGACTCACCAGCGTCCTTATATCTGGGTAGAAATCCGCAAACTGACGAAATCTGTCGCTGGTCTTAGCTAGGATATGTCAATGGCAGCTTTTCCTTACACCAGTTGTCTTGTGAAACGTGGTCGAGTTAGATCGTACATTTAAGCTTAAAAGATTTGTCAGCAGATACACAAGCGTAAATAAGTAATTTTTCACAGATATTTAGCTTGAAAACGGAAACGTAGCACTGAAGATTACGGGCAATCACGTACTAACACATGCAAGATCCACTGAACATTTGAGCATGAGAACAACACTCTGCTTTCGTAGCGAATAAAATAAACTATGCATCTTGGAGCGTTTAGCGAATATTTCAAGGCGTTTTAATAAATTATTGATGGCTTATTGTTTTGCGTGATTCGTGTGCTTGTAGCAGTAATTATCACCCCACTGGTGGTAGCTAAGCAGGATATGTGTTAAGATTTCCGCTAATCATCAGAAGCAGCTCCCAGTTAAATATACAAAATGTTTGTAATGGAGATTACGTCTGCTCTCATTCCTATGTACAAGAGAAGTCTTACAAATTATCATTATTTTTTTTTTAATCGTTTGGTACGAATCTATAAGAATATTGTTATGGTTTCTAGCGTCTATGCAAGTTAGAACCCTAACTTTTTACCACCATTATCATGCCATATTCTCAACTTCGAAAAATCTTCATTTTCATTGGTTTCTCCGGCTAAAAAAAAGCCTCTCAAATTTGCAGGGCGCGCGATTTGTGTCTTGTTCAGTGTTCAGCTATTCTTTTGTGGTCGATATGTTCTTCACTATTCTAAGGTTTAAAATTCAAACGGGTCTTGTTCAGGAGTGGAGTTCATGAAGGCACGCTGAGCTTAGATTAACTTTTAGCAAGTCCATAGTGTGACTCGTTATTCTCACTTTGGTAAAAGAATGACGAAAAACGAAACGGTCGCGAGAATCCAAAATATGATAGGTACTGGTAGGAATATTTTTGCCTGATTTTATCGATAGAGTTCTGCACAATCATTTTTTTTTGCGGTAAAATGCTTTCATTTTCATGTCGTAGAGGTTTAGTAGCAATAACATGCTTTATAAATATTTATCGTAAGAAAAACATAAAAGAAGGCTTACGCTTATCCAGTGCTGTCTTATGTTCTCAGCAGCCCATCACATCAGGCTCCGAACCGTCTCCTCTTCGGTGTTTTTGTTTCTGGTAGATGGGCTTAATCTCGTCCGAACATTCAAGTACCTCTTGGCCTTATGTTCAGTATGACTGGGTTCTGACGTTTTTTGTTATCCTCCGGGAGGGAACTTGGCCACGCCTCCTTGCCCCTTGCAAAATACAAATTCAATTGCGTCTCCTTATATCAATACATCTATATTCATTAAATTTTCAAACATAACAACTATTTTTACTAGGATAGTATGTTTAGTTTAGCTTTCATGAAAACAACCTTTGAGACTTTGAGGAAACCAACTCAGTGTACTCCTAGATCTATCCTTTGATCTTAAAATAAGGGGGCACAGAACCTTTCTTAACATGCCGTGTATAAGATTTAAGGAGACCGTTCTAGACGCGGTATCGCCAACATCACAAATCGAAAGGTCTCTGAATGAGCCACATGCCTGAGATTTTGACAGCAAAAGGAATTATACTACGATACACATGTCTACATAGCACCCTGTGTTTTGATAGCATACTGCATTGCAACACCAGGCTCTGGTTTTGCGAGAGAAATAGGCGGGAATTTTGTCAGAGTCACCATTTTACTCCTGTCCCAGCGATGCAAACGTCGAAAATATTGGCTTTAATAGATAATTTTAATGTTTGCGTTTTAAAATTTCGAACATATCAGAAGTCCTTGCGCAGAGACTTACGTAACTTACATGACCCAGGAAACAAAAAATCTGTCCTCCTATTATCAACGCCAGCGACTGAAGGGTATTGCGAGACTTCCCAGTTACGGCTAACCGCTATCTTAAATAAGCCCTTCAGCGATGTTGCTTCGTTCATAATAGGCAAAGCACAAATCGTAAATAATTCTTGCCACACAAGGCGTAATTATTTACTGTGATTACAAGCGTCGAGATTCCTTATCCTATCCGCAAATGGGTTTTGTTTTTGTTTTTTTTTTTTAAAGAACGAACCGTAAACCGTTTAGCAAAGCTTACCTGACCTGAACTTTATACTCTGACGGTTGCCCAGCTTTACAGATCACGGTTAGCTTAAGTTGATATTTAGGCCTCATCTTTCAGCCGAAGACTGTTTGGCCTTTTTCCATACTTAGACACTGACATACAAGATAAAAAAAAAAAAACATCACCTCTAACACCCTCCTCTATAATTGTTCTAAGTCAAACAATCACTCTTTCATCATGTTTGCATCAAATGATCCTTTTTGGTATGCCATTAAATTGAATTGTTGCTGCAATATAACTGGTCCTCAGAAGAATTAACGGTTCAAATGTCGTAAGTGTTACCACTACATGTTATAAAAGGTTACAATTAGTTGGGTAATGTTTAAGGTGTTTTTAACTTAAATAAACACCAAATAGAATGCTACGTTTGTGAAAAAAAGTAAGGATTATTTCCCAGCTTCGTGAATCTCAAATCTGTCTGGCTTTTAGAACCGAGATAAACTTGAGAAAGCTGGGAAGAGGTTTTCTGAGTTGACAAAATGCGTACGCTCTGTCTTCTCGAATTTAACCTATCCATTGGCTTCTCAGCGTTTTCTTTTTTGAGAATTTTCTTTTTTTCGATATGTCACGCAATCCTAGCCACTAAAGGAAATGGTACCTGCCCCACACCCAATTATGGAAATCTTGGCATCCAAGGATTCTAGAGGACCATTTTGTGGTTATCTCCCCTTCATAACTTCCGCTGATATCTACGACATATCCATGTGGAAGTTCCTGCCTCGCTAAAATATTGTTTTTCTTAATCACTATATTTCATATTCTTTTTGTTTATAAAATCCCAAGCTGATTTTAGGCCGGATTGATTTTAAACCACATGGCACCATCAAACAGATCTAGGTAACAGGTGCATTACGAAAAGGACTGAGAAACGCACGTTGGCGTGTGAAGTGAATCGGGAAGGATAAGATGGGATTTTTACCAGACGATCCATTCTCACACGTTTTTGATCTTGGTTACTCAGTATATAATGATATTTTTTTTAAAGATGAAGGAAAATATTCAAAATGTACTCAAATTCATTGAAATTATCTTTCTTTAAATTAAGGTTAGCACAGACGCAACGTGGTAAGCTTTATATCACTCAAATGAGTCTAAGCTGATCAGGATGGGATGCGATTGCAAAGGAGTTTCCGAGACACACTTAGAACACTTTTTATGCACGTGAATTTTGTTTTTCCATACCTCTCAAAAAACGTTTTTAAAAAGCTGAATATTTTGTTGGTCAATGGCTCTTGATTGATTCAAGTTTATTTGAACCGGCCGAAGGCTATAAAGGACTTTGCCTTTGTTGTCTTGCTATCTTTCAAACTTATTGCACTGGACGAGAGCCAGATGTAAATGAATTAAAGCAGTGACAGAAGATAGCTTCTAAATAATTTCCATTTTTCACCAGATTATTCCTCTCTTATTATTAGTGATAAGAAAGCCGACATAACCGCGAGGGAGAATTCGAAGAGAGATTCAAGGTTTACTGTAATTACCTAAATGCTTATCCTGGTCTTAGTGCAGCTTCGGGTCACGCTAACTCCCACACTCCCCGGCCCGGGTGAACAACCTCTACACTCGTTGCCCATTCTTTTTTTTTTAATTTTTTTTTTTTTATCCAAGAGGAAAGATTTAGGATAGACTAGCTCAGCTCAAAGAAAATGGATACGACCAAAGACTAACGAATTCTTATATTACCATTGAGATCGCAATTTATTATCTAATTGCATGAAGTAGAGTACAAATAACGCGCCAACAGAGTATAAGTATCCTTCGATATTGTACAGTAGGTTATTTTGTATTGTGAAAAAACCTGTTTGACCAGTCAGCTGCGCACCTTACTCTTATCCATCCGCTTTGCTTTTCCCACCTTGCGAGAAATGAGCAGAAACACAAGTCAGGAAAAAAAAAACCAGGGGGATAATAATTAATTTATTACACGATTTGGTGTATAGTATTGCTTAGTATTTTTACACATTGTTTGTATTTTGAAAATACGGCACAACTCGCAAAAACTGAGCTCAGCGATACTACACACCAAAAAGTCTAATAAGATATATGTACTAAAACAACATAGCAATTTTATCTCCAATGGCCCTAACTTTCACCCCCTTCGCCCCCATATTATGGCGCCCCCCTTTCCCCCCTATATATGGTCGCACCCCCTCCCCCCTTTATAATGTCGCTCCTTGTCTCTTCCTTCTACTTTCCTGTAATGGTGGAAGGTAGGTATAGTAGTCAAGTGCCGTTTGCTAGAAATTTACTTCAGTTTTTCTCCTTAGAAGTGACGACGTGAATTTTACGTGTCCAATTATGTTGCCGCAGATTAGTAAGTAGTTAAACTGAATTACGTGATGAACGTAATACGTCATTAAATGTTGAATGTCATCAACCCTCTTCCTCATTCCGGTTTCACCGAGCACTTTCTTTGCAGCCTGGGTCTCTTATGAGTGCTTTGAAGACATATTTCGGCACCCAATATTTTGCCAAGGCGGCGAGATTTATTTTTAATAAGACTTCTCAAACAATTGTTCATAAGGTGATCATCCAACCAAGACACGCCAATTTCGTGACGTGCATGTGGTTTAAAACCTTGGTGAAAGACTGGAATGAAGCGCTATCCATGAGTTTCACATAATATCAAACTTTTGATAAAGCATCAAACTCTAGTGAACTCATTTCTTAATTTGAACATTAATAACACGTATTTGAATACTTAAAACAAAGACACCAACATGAACAAACAACCTTTATTAACACCCTCTCTAATAACAAGTAATAAGACATTTTCTAAAGAAAACATCATCAACTTCGTCGTTCACTTGTTTATGTTCATATTTATTTTACAGTTCACAAAGTAAGCAGAGGCCATAAACTGATCACAAGAACTCTTCAAATTACCAATTTCAACATGGCCTCTTCGGTCATCGGCTGATTTCAGCTGCCGAAAACGTGATAAATCGCAGAAGAGAGTGAAGAATTCAAAATGAAACCTTGAATTTATAATTATTTACAGCATTGTGATAACATTGCTCACACCCTTTCTGTAAAAACACAAATCACCATAACAATACAATTTTTTGTAACAACAAATTTGCCGACAACGTGAAAAATTCGTGAATATTTCCATTATCTTTTATTCCTGAGGCGCGATTGAGAAGTTAGTCGGGTTTTATCAGGATTTCCAGGGTTTCCTCGTGTTTGAACACCCTGATGAAACCCTTCCACTCGTTTTGAAATAGTACATGAAGGAACTCGGACTTGTGTTCTGATTTCCGGATTTACGCAATCTACTCATACAATTTGTAAAAGGTACGTAAGAAGCAAGTAGGTTCTCGACTTTTCATTATCTTCTCTAGTTACGACTACGTCAAAGCAAGTGTCCTGCAGAGAGGGACTTTATGCAAAAAGAGTCTCGCCTGTTCAAGCGAAGTCATAATTCTTATCAGCATTTTTGGTCACGTGATTCAGGAATCGCGACGTTGTTGAAGGAAATGTTCCAGTCAAAGAGGAGGGGAAATAGGGCAACAAGCATCCTACTTGCATTTGGGGGCATGCAAGTTTGTTTGATTATTGCAGTCGACCTCTTGTTACAAAAAACGCGCACGTACTCCAACCCTTGCGCAAACTTAAATCGATTTCCCCTGAATTTGCGTAACGTGAAACTTTACTTAAGGGGATTTTGGTTGAAATTAGTGCGGGTGTTTGAACCTCCCACTGGTATTACCTTGAGGCCTGGGTGAGGCGCAACCGATTCCGGCCGCCAATCCATCGCACATTATTCTAGTTTAGTTGAGAAGCTGTGCTTATGAAATTAAGAATGAATTAGTTGTGGTACTAGTAAATTTTTGTTTTGAGCCAACGAAAATAACAAAAAGAGGGCTACGAATAAGAACACGGAGTAATAGTCTAACATGACACTTAAGCAGTGAATTATAGTAAATGGCTCCTAGGACGGACTTAGGACGAAAGAAGAGGTTGCCGGGGAAAAAAGCTTCCTACTTGCATTTGGGGGCATGCAAGGTTGTTTAATTGTTACAGTCGACTTCTTGTTACTAAAAACGCGCATATACTCCAACCCTTGCGCAAACTGAAACCAAAATCGATTTTCCCTGAATTTGGATAATGTACAACTTTACTTAAGTGGATTTTTGGTCGAAATTAGCGCGGGTGTTTGAACCTCCCGCAAACTTGAAGCATTTTCCGTTCTCCTGCAAGACACTTTTAAAATGATTCTACCGCCCTCGATAATTGGAACCATATTAGTCAATGCGAGACCGATCGACACAAACTTTCTCTTTAAATCAACTTTGAATGGGAGTCAGGAATTTCTTCAAGTTCCTTTTTCATTTGTGTTCATTGTTTAGCGGGGCTAAAAATGTGAACTGTTCTGAAACAATCTTATTATTTGCAATTAGTGTGTCAAAAATTCGAATAATAATTCAATTATCGCTAAGAATAGACAGAATATGATTAATGGGATACTCCTGAATGTAGAGAACCACTAATCGCTTACTAGACTAGTTCCTCACTAATGATGCAGTTTGAGCCGACTGTGATGTTGACCTCATATTGATTTAGAAAGCCATCATTCGAGAACCAATCGAGTACTTGAAAATGTTTGAAAACCTTTCGATACTTTGTAACAGACAAGAAACACGATGCTCCTAAGGCATACATTATTCGCGTTCTGTTTCATAGGCGTAGTCAGGATTTTAAAACACCTCAAGCTATGACGCGACATGTTTGGTTTTGGAAGCATGGCAAGGTTTGCCTTGCTTGTTTTTCTATTAAGTGCGAGTCTTACGTACCGTAGCGTCCCTCAAGCCCCAGATGGCCTGTTGCGTTGAGCATTTCCAATACGCTGAAATAAGTTTCCCTGATACGAAGGGACGCTCGTCGCTAAAAACGGACGCTCTCAGATACCAATCAGAATTTACCTTTTCCCGCGTTCAGTAACCATGATGCATTGCACCTTTTTTTAATGGGCATCTTCAATGCCTGTATTTATCTAAGCCAAGTTAATACCTAACCAAATGTATGGAGAGCACCAAGGAGATTATACATGCTGGTGTTAAGGTGTAAACGGTCAGTTGTTTTATAGTGGACTCTTGTCCAGCATTTGTTGATGTAACCGCGGATGGCGAACACCACATATGAATTACTCTCTTTATGTTGCAAATTGATCAAACGTAACCCTCGCATGAATACAGAATGAGTCAGTGACATTTTATTCCAGTGTTGTCATTCATTTTTTTTTATTCGACAGTTTACACGTGCTGTATTTAGGCCCCAAAAGTGGGGTTACCGAATAAAAGAAAGCCACCCTTATTTCATAAGCGTCGGGATCTGTTTGCTTTCAGGTTATAAATAAACTTTGAAATGGGAATAATACGAAAGTGAATACTGTGATAATTACTCTGGACACATTGAGAGCTCCTGACTTTGGCCAGTCGTCACTCTTGCCTTACCAGCAATGTGGTTAGTGTTTGTTTCAATTCTTCTGTTACCGTTTGACCGTTACGAAAGGCAAGCGCGGATTAAGTAGCGCCGCTGAAACCGAATTAAGGTATTGCAGGCGATGGCTAGTGGGCCGTTTTATCTAGTCGCATATTACGAAGAACTAGCATATTAAAACCTTTCCAGGCTTTTTATACACCAGAACATTTTATTTCGGACTTGAATCCGCTGGCTTCATCGCGTACGAGCCCACGTTCTTCGTGGCGCTTACGGTGCTCTGTTCTGTTTGAATGAGTTCTTGAAGGTTCACTGTGAACAACAAGACCGTCCAATGGCGGATCTTTTAATTTCGTGCATTTGTGATTTCGTGCATTTCTCACGCGCGATGAATCACATTTCACACGCGATGAATCACACTTCTCGTGCGACAATGCACTCTCCATGTGTGTCCTTGATTGTTGCTCAGTGTGAGAAAGTCTGTCATTCGGACAGTCAACATAAATGTTAAAACTTACATTCCGTATCTCTTCTTTCACTTTTTTCGGCGCGTATAATTGCGTCGGTGAGTCCTTTTTTATTACGTCGTTGGCTGTTGGGTTCTTATCTAGTGTATCATTGGCCCATTGTTGACGAGCGTGATGCTTTCTTGTCATGAAATAGCACCATACAATTGTTCCAATTAAAAGTATAAGCACGGCGATTGGAACTCCAATTAAAGCGGCCAGTGGAACTTCCTCTATATATATTTCTTTATCTTCTTGTGGTGCTGGAGATTTCCTCCCCATGCCACCAAAGACTACTTCTTCATCTGCAAGAAATTTAAAAATCATCGTATTTTTTTCCTCTATCTGAGAACAAAGCACGCCATTTAATACCTTCCACGGAAAGTGATCAGGTGTCAATCGAGGGCAGTTCGTTAGAGTGCCGTAAAACCGAATCATACTAGTCACAACGGCCAATCAAAATTAAGGAAAATATGAGTCAATTACAACTCTTCGTAAACACAAGCAAACATTGTAAAGCGGGAAAACGCGAGTGACCAACTCGCTACTGGTTTGAATCTTACATCTTATTAGTTTTTAGAGAGCGGTGCGAGTTTTCTCTATCAATCACAGAGGAAAAGAAGACTGGTATCGCGAATTAGTTTGGAAACTCCATTGGAATCACCTTGAGGCCTGGTGAGGCGCAATCGATTCCGGCCGCCAATCCATCGCACATTATTCTAGTACAGTTGAGAAGCTGTTCTTGTGAATTTAGAATAAATTAGTGGTGGTTCTTACAAATATTTGTTTTGAGCCAAATAACAAAAAAGAGGGTTACGAATGGGAACATGGAGTAATGTCTGACATGATACTTAGGCGGTGAATTACGGTAAATAGCTCCGAAGGCAGACCTGAGATGAAAGAAGAGGTTGCCGGGAATGAATGTTGTGTTTTTTCAGTATTCATTGAGACGAATGCCAATGACTGAAGTGAAATGGTACAGATAACAAAATATAACTACAATTTTCTATAAACCTACCGTCGTGTGTCTTGATAGTTAGAAACACGTTATGGGATACATAACCAGCGGAATTCCCCACCATGCATGTGTACCTGGCTTCATCCGCCAAAGTGACATTTCTGACAATAAAACGATGAGTATAAAGTTTACGGTTACCCGTGTGCTGCTTGGCAGTCTCGCGTATCTCTTGGTACTTTGACTTTGTGAAGTCAACAAAGTCAAATGGATCGGTGCCGTTCGAAACATTGCTGGGTTGTTTCCATTTGAGAAGGTGAAAATCAGGATGACTCCTAGCTACTGCAGAGCACACAAACTTGACGTCTTCACCTTCCATAGCTGTTTCGTTCTTCAGAAAGTGCCTTAAAATCTTTGGTTTCCTTTCGGGAGGAATATTAATTCCATTCTCTGATTAAGGGAAGTAAAATATGAAAAAAAAAATTAAGATGTGTTCCTCTTTGATTTACTCAGTACTCATATAGTTGAAGGTTACTCTTTCGTTCAGGTCTTAAAACTAAAGCAGCTGCGTCACAATGTGGTAGAAAGTCTCTTCGGAGGACAAAGCCGTTACTACGGAAGGTGTTTCTGATGGTGGCGTCTGTGATCCTTCCCTTTTGATCAACTGATTCTTACTCTTTCAATCTCAAATTGTGAGATCAGAGAAGCAATGCTGCATCATCTTTATCATTAGTAACAAATAATTTCCTATGGATAAGTCCTGAGCCGTGATTGAGTTTGTCATTTTTTCTGTGTCTAGTCAACGACCGATCAATTGATGAAACCCAGCTAATTTCGTAACGACAGCGGCACTTTCTAAGCCTGGATAATCGCTTATCTAAGAGGCCCAGATGTGAAGAGTTGCAAAGAGAGGTATGGGTGAACCCGTTTCCTAACACCTAGTTGGTAAGGTAAGTGTGCGTTTACTTCTTAGCCTAGACTATGCATGGCACCAGGATTTGTTCCCCATCTCTTAAAAATGAAACAAACCATCGGTGTGAAATTTGTGACATAGATAAAATTATCTTTCCCAGTCTCTGAAGTGTACTTAAACACTAATCTGGCATAGAAAAATTATCTTACCAACAACTGTGACAATAAATGTCTTTTCGATTTTACCATATGCATTCTGCACAGTGCAAGAGTAAGTTCCAGCGTCATCATTGGTCAATGCCTTAAAGCCTAACACCCAGCCTTTTGCCTTCAGGTGCGACCGGTGAGTGCGGCTCAAAGGCTTGTTATTCTTTACCCACGTGACATTTAGGGGAACCGCTCCTGTTGCGTGACATTTGAGTCTAATATGGTGACCTTTGACGTATTCTAGAAAGCGAACGCGACTTTTGGGTGGACCCTTGAACTTTGGTGGGTACTCTGCAAAAGACACACCGCCAACGTTATTCGGTTTCAATTTCTTTCAGTCAGAAAGGAAAAAAATAACGCATGTTATGTAGATGCCTTGGAGTCAAAATGAGACACTAGTTTCTACGAGCAGGCAAGTGAATTTGACGAACTGTTGTTAATGATATTTTGGTCATACCGACATTTATGGGTCGAGTTTCTAGCTTAGAGGAGTGAGACTGAGAGGCCGAATTATTTTCTCAGCCCTTGACAGATTTCTTTGCTGGTAGTAGTGATAATGATAATGATGATAATTTTCCACATATGTTATAGATATTTTGTGGCAAATTTTAGTGCCAATCACACTTAGTTATCAATGGGTTCAATGGGGTACCCAGTCGTTTCGTGCCCACGATCGTTTAGTACCCGGTCGCTTCGCACCCAAATTCAGTCGGTTCGTTGTTAAAGGTAATAAATCCATTTATTCTTTTATTGTTTTCATACCATAAAATACTTAACTTGCAAAACATACTTTATTAGTATGAGTACGAAACGACTCAAATGACTTGGTACGAATCGACTTCGGTGGGTACGAAACTACTGTAACTGTCAGTGGCAGCTGTTACATTTAAGTGTTAAGAGTAAATTACATTGGAATAAAAAGATGGGATGGTTTCATCAACTGAGTAGATAATGAAAAATTGGCCACCGAAGAGTTTCTAAAGCTGACGTTTCGGGCGTTAGCCCTTAGTCAGACTGATGTAACTCTTTTAAGCTAAAAACAAACTCATCAATGTCGGTACTACCACGATATCAGTAGCCACATAAAATTCCATGGTCTGCTTGCAGAAATCTGGTCTGCCATATTGGAATAAGAATGGATACATAACGGAGAAGAATTAAGTGAATGGCAAAGGAAAACTGGGAAGCAAATTGTTGGGTCTTTTGATGAGCGAAATGAATGGGCAAAGATTTCATTTTTTTTTAGGATATTATAACTTTTAATAATTGCTAAGAAAAAGCCAGGCTTGAGCTGATGGTGACAACGATACAGTAGGGAATATGAGATTGATTAAGAAAATAACAATGAATGTATTGGTACAAATGAATGAAAATTTAACACAAACCCATTAATGGTATTTTAGAAGGTATTCTCGGTCGGTCGGTTGTACTTTTAATGGACGGCTCTCTAGCAGTGATGCTTGGCACTGTTGGAAGAATAATGATACGGCGGTCAGACGATCAATGAAATTTTTCTTCCTAGGAAGGTCTGCGCTATGACACGTGGTATTGGTTGGTTTAACTCTAATATGTGACTGAGACGTTGTTGGAAAAAAAAAATTAACCAAAACTAAAACAACTTGTCTCTAAGACTGAATATTTTAGGTATGGAATTACAGGAGATATCTCATTTCATGTCAGTATAAGGGGAGTTGGCACTTAACCCAGCCACAGCCTGAGGGGTTATGCTACAAGTGCTATTTAATGAAACGCTAAGAACTCTTGAGATCGAAAAACTTTTAAAGTCTTAAACGAAATTCTTACTGCTCGTGTTACCTGATGTGATCGGGGTAGGACTGGGTGTCTCTTTTTTTGTGATGATACTTCTGTTTGATTCTGTATAATTGAAGAAAACGTTTATTTTTAAACTAGTTGTGGTAAAAAAATAGTGACATGTATTCGATTAAAAGAGTTGGAGATAGTTTTTTAGTTCAAGGCGTATTCATATTATAGCTAAAAATAGCGCATCAATCCCTGAGCTTCTCATAGAAAAATTTACCTGTATAATTTTAGAAAAGTAATTTATTAAAGGACAGGCGAGAGACAGACCAACTGATTGACCAACAGACTAACTGAACAAACGAATTCCTTCTCAAGGGACTGACAGAAACAATACAGACAGCATGAACAGACCGAAATACATAGCTAAGTAGAAAAACGGTATTCTCAGAACGAGCTGATATAAGGAATGTGCAAAGTGGGTCCTTTCTAGTGTGGGATTCCTCAAATGCACGATCCGGTCCTATTTTACTTTGTTTTCTGAATACTTTTGACAGTGAGGAATTGCGTGCAATTTCAAAATTTATAATTGATGTGGAATCTATCTTCTTTCCCTTACCTCTGACTACGAGTCGGATTTCTTGTCTGGTTACCCCAAAAGAATTGTGAGCGATACAGGCATACAACCCCTCGTCCGAAGGCTGCACCTTTTTTATTTTCAAATATTCGAGCCTCGTCCTAAAACGCGGAAACTTTTTGGTGATGACCATACCCTCAGGAAGCCTTTGCCACGCTGTTAAGGTCCTGTTCTCGGGGGGATCCTTTGTTCCGGAGAACTTGCAACGTAATTTGACGTTTCGTCCTTCATGGACCGTATACAATGGCTTTACTGGTGCAAGAAGTACAGGGGGGTCTGATAAACAAAATTAATGAAAACAGTTCCAGTTTAAATTCCTTGAATTGGGCAACTGAAAGTGTAGAAACGGTAGTCTGAAGTAATAACAATACAGCTTGGATTATTTTTACTGTGTTTAATGGAAAAAGACTACGCTCAAGAATTCGTGGTTCAGAACATGTTCACCTCGTCCACACTGCCTGTCTAAAGGTCATTGTTTATGTTCAGTTTGGAGTTGCATGACCACACTTTAGGCTTTCCAAGCATTCGTCTCGTGACTAATTATGTTTTGCATAAATCTAAAGATTTTACATTTTTAAATCGATTATAGCCCTTGTTCATCAAGTTTATGACCTATAGAGCTAATTGCTTTCGAACAAGTAAATTGCTCCCATGTCTGCTAGTTCATTACGCAAAATTATCCCACATTTTCGACTTGATCACAACCGAACCTACTCCTAATTTTGCTCCGGTTAGCGTGAGCTTGAGTTTTTTTTGTCACATACCGACTTATCCAACTGTTCTCGCGCTTAGAAAAGTCTCACGTGATATGAGCTTCATGCGATTTACCAAAATTCAATGACCTTTACAGGCCACACACTTAGAGAGGTTCTGTCTTTTTCTGTCGCCTCTCTTTCAGCAACTATATCAGTTACTCTATGTGTTGTTCTTTTAGCCTCCAAGAATGCTTAGGGTACTCTTAAACAACAATTATGGCTTGTAAGTGCAAAGAACTCTCAGAAAAGTAGACTCCTAAGCTTTGCTGAACAGTATTTATCGACAACGTTTCAATCTTCTTTTGTTAAACATAAATATTTGGAATTCTCGCAAAGAAAATGCTTCCCATATGTTACGGAAACTACATTTTAACCAGCAGGGGGCGGTTATTCCCTCGGGCTACAGTCAATCATGAGTGAAAAAAAAAATTAAAAAATAAAAAAAAAACTCAGTTGGAATACTTAGTTAATGAAAAACAAGTCCAGCGTGGATTCATTCCATTTGATCAGATCAGTGGATTATCCCCAAGAGAGCCGCGTGTTATGAATCGTCTACGGGGATTTTAAAATCTTATTTTAATGTCGACCTTAAGCTGAGTTGAAAAGGTAAACGAAGTCGCTGCTTTGAACCTGAAACAGGTGTCGAAGAAGCTGCTTTTAAGGGCAAAAAAATATACGCTTGGTAACAAGCACTTGCACTCAAAATATTATTTCGTGACTCAGGAATGTGATGAGTGAGTCTATTTTTGATCGTATTTCTAAGAGTTTTAGCTCGGTCTCAATTTTTGGTTTTGATCATTATGCATGCTTCACTAGATAAAAGAAGCATTTTACCTTTTGTTGAAATATTTATTAGTGGGACACAGCATGTGATAAAAGCCGAGAAAAGGGTTTTCATCTTGAGTAAGAAAACAGCTGTAGCATAAATGATACTTCAAACAATCGCACATTGTTCTTGCTCAAAAGCCGTCCGTCCTGTATAGATACGCCATGCAGAGTTGTACCACACGGAAAGCCTAACAAGATGACAAAAACCCTAGAGTGCCCTCGACTACACACGTTTAGGTTCCTCAGAGCTAAAAAAAAGAATGATGTATCGGTGCGATGAGAAATAAGATAATTTGAATCAATAAATGACCTGATAGATTAGCTAGAAAGGCTTTTTCTGGCGTTTGTTATGATTCACCTCACCGATTCAAATGTAAACAATCAAATGAAAAGCTAACGAGCCAAATCTTTCTGAACACAACAGGTCTATGGACGAAAATAACTTTTATAAATATTATGATGTGAAAATTAAACCAAGGTATATCGTCCACTACACCTTTGTGTGAGGGGTAATCAGAGTTAATTAAATTAGAGACTTCTTTTGTCGATAGATTGTGAGTTTTCTCTCGCGAGAATTCGACGCTTTGTACAATTTTTCTCTCCTGAAAGCAACACCTGTTTCAAGCACACTTCATAATAACTGAACCGTTAGTAGCAGCAGTTTCGAGTTAATCTTTTGTTCAATTGATACTCAAGCGGTATTCAAGCGACCTACAAGAAGCTATTAAGATATAACAATGGTCTCAATTTGGCCTTAACGCCCACTTGGTACCTCTTGCGATACGAAATGAGTTCCATAACAATTAGCAATCAACCTTTAACGTCCAAGGTGTTAATTGGATTCGCTGTACAGTACTAGCTTACTATTTCTAAACTCTCAGTTTCTTTCCCTTCCTCTGCCTCATTCCTTTTCCTGAGTAATTTCTTGTTGATCAGGAGAAACGACAAGTGCTGACTTAACACGTTATATCTTTACATCAATGTCTTATCGCCCGCTCATTGAACAAATTGGTCTTATCAGTCATATATCGAATCTTATGCAGAGTATTCTCAAGAAAAGGGGTAAGAACAATCAAATCCGCAGAGAGTTAGTTTCAGTACATGGTTGAAACCTCATAAATCATAATTTTAGTGTTTTCTTGAAGGAGATGTCGTTTGAAGTAGCCATCGAGGAAACAGACACTAAGCAGAGCTAGTTGAAGTTAGTGAATACCATTGTGTTATCTGCTCTCCAATTTCGGCACTAATTAACAGGGTTCCGAGCTGTCCTACCATGAAGAGACAGCTTTGACCACGTGTTTCCGATTTTTTGTTTATTTTAAAGTAAAATCTCTCTTAACTTGGAGTTTTCAGCGCACGAACTACGCACAAAGACGCAGCTTCCCTTAGGCAAAGGCACGAGGCCGAGTAATTGATTGAATTTAATCGCTTTTCAAACAATTTATCTCATCGCACTTTAATTTCCCCGAGACCTATCAAGCATTTTATAAGTGAAATGATTAATAAGTTACATAGGAATCCAGTTAAAAATTGAGTCAAAGTTGTGTTTATACAGAAATTGAAAGCCTATTTGCATGATGCTTGCGCCTTCGTCCCTCACACTTACAGCTTATCATAACACACCCTATACTCTAAACCAATCCAAATGAACATACCTTTGCAGTGAACAACCACAAACAGGGATAGAATAAATTCCAAGGAAACCGTTTTGGTATAACACATTCTTCAGCCAAGGGCCTTTCCGTTCCTGAACAAGCACAGCTGCGCGCAGCGCTTCTCCTGCGTCCAAACTCTGTCAAAGAAAATAACAAAGAGGCACGGCGCAAGGTTAATAAATTTCAGTATGCATAAATGCATTAAGATATCGATTGCCATGCACACTGACCTTGCATGTAAGCTAACCACTTACAGCAAGAGGTATTCAACAGTTGCCTTTTCATCAGAAGGGGGCTTAGACAGAAGAGTCTTGTTTTTATGCCAGAACTCGACAGGATAGAAATTTCGAATGACGCTCCTAAAAGCACGGATCAAGTTTTATGATTCATTACTACACTTTTACACCAAAACCACCTGGATTCGAATAATCGAACCTCTTTCCTCTGTCGTTTTCCCAATGACTATTTTTTTTCTCGATAGCTCGTCATAAACAGTGATGGATGAGCGGTGATTTTGGATTACAAATAAAACTTAAGGAATTATGCCGATCGCGCCGAGTTACCAACTTGATTTTGGTGAAGGAAGAGAAATTTAAAACCTCCAGGTCAAACACTGTTGGTGATTCTTATGTACACTTAGCTCTCAAAACACCACTGGAAATAATCCTGTTTGGTCAAAGAAGATATCTTTTTTCGGAAATAGCTCAGAATTATTTCTGTTGTAGGTCCGCTATAATGGTTCTCAGACGACAAGTGTCCGATTCGCTGTGAAATTAGTAGTGCCATCGATAATGTAGATTCAGCTGGTAGATTGAGGAAATTCAACTCGATATAAACCAAATTCAAATGTAATCCAAGGATACCGCGTAGGCCAAAGTAATAAATCATCTTAACTCGCGCTTTCATCATGGCCTAATAGGTCACAGTTGTGAAACCAAAACTGTGCGGTGCGGCTTGGAAACCGAATAACCACTCCATAAGATAGAATTAGTCCGCCAAACAATCAGCGAAAAGCTACGGCCAGTACTTTGCGTTTTTTGCGTTCGGAATTAAGTACATTTCGTAATGGTTAGAACACGTGTAAATTGTGACGCTCAGGTGTCGCCGGTTAATAAACTCCTGGTCATCAATCATTTCACATTACTCTGCCACTTTTGAAGAAAGCTCTCACATACAAATGAAAAATGTCCTGTTGAAATTTTCGCTCCAATAAGTCATGCTTAACACTCACTTCCAGTCACAACATACATTCACCCTGCAGCGACAAACAGGAATAAGAAATCCGCAAACCAACGTTGGAAGTCTGCTTTAGAAAGAAAGACGAATTTACGACAACCTGTGCTTCCCAGACAAATTCGAGCAGTTGGCTGCTGGTATTTCAATCCTGTGTTTGACCCGAGAGCACCGCCTACAGGACGGAAATCCGAACAAGTCGCACACCATCAATACTTACGCAGTGTTAGAAGCCTGAACGATCGCCAGCAAGAATATTTGTGATCCTTTCAGTTCGTAAAATTAAGTGGATAGTTCAGGTCACCCAAGATTTCACTGACCAGTAGCGGAGAATTCATTTCACTCGAGGCAAAGCTCGGCGCACGCCAATCACTCGGACAATTACTGCCTGTCAAGTCACCGATTACACCACAAAGATAACCTATTGTTTCTAAACAGTTCCCAGCTCAAGTGTAAAGGCAGCCTTTACGCAAGCTGTTTTCCTTTCCTTGACAACTCTGTCTTTGCGTTCTTGGCTAGCACTTCTAAACAAACAAGCCGCTCAACGAAGAATGCTTGGATTACAGAGAACGAAGGCGATCAGTTAAGCCATTCTCGTGCATTCGCGACCACATATCGCGCGGCTTAAATGTCACATAGACAGCGGAAGCTGCTGTATAGAACTTCACAAAGCCACAGCCTTCTTGCTATCGCCAGTTTGGGTCTGGAGGTCAGATCAGATGCTGTTCGGATGATGTGGCGAAAGTGAATTACATAAAGAAGAGATCGATAAGGAAAGTGTCGATCTGCCGGATTAACGTCTCTGCAACTTTCCACAAGGCGATCGATGCGTCAAAACGTAAAATGAGCGATTGTTGAATGAAATCCAATACGCGACAACCTCTCTGTCCGTGTATACACAAATATTTGATTTGAATTAGAAAATACTTACACATTCGGCAGCCAATCAGCGGCAGCTGAAACCGGGCGCGAATTAATTAACTTAATTGCAAATGTCCATAAAGGACAAATCGCTTCCACTGACGTGTACCGCTTGCTCACCTCGCGACTCGGAGATTAACATCGAGATTTTTATCACGATACATTTGAAGATTCCTTCGATATTTTCATCGCTGTTTCAAAACTAGTGCGAGCTCGCACCAGCGTAGAAAGAAGATGCATTAACACATTTCGACGGCCGAGTAATAGTTTCGGATATTATTACTTTTGTTTTCAAACGAAATTTGTTTATGTCAGGGTGGATTTCAACCAGTGATTTAATTACAAAAGAAATAATGTCTACGCGACTTTCTTTTATGTGACATAATGAAATAAAGCGGCTTCAGTTAACTTTATTATTGCCGTTTGACTTAACCATTTTTTCAGACGTTGTGCAAACTGGGAGTAAATTCACTGCCATATTTCTGTGGAAAATCGGCCTTGGCGGTAGAAATGTAATTTTTTTGTTATTCATCTTTCATCGGGGAATGGATGAACGTAAAGAAAGCAACAAAGACATAACTGTGATTAAAAATTAAGAACAAACGAAAATCTTTTCATCAAAATCAAATCGTTTGGCGAATAACTTCTTCAACGTTTTCGGTGAGAGTTCAAACGTTGTTAAGGTAACGTTAAAAAAAATGGAAAGATTTATTTAGTTATTTTTGGTATGTATTTTTCTAAAAGGAATTTAAAGATCAGTAGTAAATCGATCAGAAATAACTGCTTGGTCATATTACGGCCAGCAGGTGACCAAACAGCAGGGGGCAGTTGAAATATTATTTCAATGAATGTATGAATCTTAAAAGGTATGGCCAAAATTCGATTTTGCCTCCTCCGTTCAAAGTTAAAAATTGAAAACAATGATTTCCATACCGTTAACAAAGATATCACGAAAGCATCTCGCTCAACCGGGAATGGAAGATCTGCATGGGGGTTCAATTGCTGATGGTCTCCCGTTGGGAGCACACTTTTAAAATGCTAAGCTGATTCTTAGTTCGTCATATAAAGAGAGGCGTTTTCTTTTCTACTTTGTAATATTTGCCTGATGTGTCTTATCTCAATGAATGGTGCGTGATTACGGCCAACCACACGCTGGGTCACATCTGAAGGGATCCCATCAAAAATATCGCTAAAAATGGTTCTTAATCAAACAATTCAGGCAGCTAAGAAATGACAGGATCAGTTTAATGACAAGCCCGGAGATAAAGTAGCATATGTTAGACCTGATACAGATATTACTTGACAAGTGAGTCCGAATATTGCTTGAATACTGTCACAAAATCAGATTGTCAGGTCAAATCAGAAGCGTTAATTATTGGGACAAAAAAATTGCGACAGTTTCTAAAGAAAGGAAGCGACAAAAATTAATTATCATTAAAAATGATCCGCTTTATGCATTTTATGTTTGGCTTTGACCGGTTTTTATTTTTCAGTCAAGCTTTTCTTTATTAAAATCTCCTAGACAGAAAAAGATGTGATTTGAAAACATGATTTCTCGCTTCTGATAACTTACATCAGTGTGTTTTACGTAAGAAATGTGATACATATAATGCAGAGACCAGAAAGGAAAAGCAATGGAAGCGTTTTACCGCTGAGAAATAAATATATGAACGCAGACGCATCACGAGTCAGTAATGTATTCGGTTCGTGATCGCAAATTGGAAATAAATAATCGAAAAGGTAGAAAAGGAGAATCTGAGCACTCCTTCAAACTCGTTCCAACGTTTTTCGATGAAAACATTGCGGAAGTGGCTTTACTCGAACTTATTTAAAACAAAATTCCTTCGAATTTTCAATGAACTCAGTTTGTTTTCATCACTGCGAAGATCGCTTCCACATTCATGTGTTTTCTATACTGAGAAATTTAATCTCTACCTTGTCCTCTGCTCAAATAAAATTGATATGAGCCATTCGTTCGTTTTAATAAAACAAATATTGAATTTGGGAAGCATTCTGTCATATCTTTGGTTAGTGCCTTCATCATTTATCAATCAATTTGTCAATGGCACCACAGTATCTGTTGAATCTAGTTGTGGCCTTTTGCCATCAAATTTACATTTCAGCAACTTTCTGCAAATAAATTTGAGCAGGCCAGGCGATATTGTTCTTCGTATCCTGAAAGCCATTTCATTCTCAAAAAATAATTCCCACGATTAATTTAACAAAAAAAAATTTCAACTTTGCTGATAATGAATTTGTTCTATCTTTTCCCTTACGTTTATACTATGATAGAACTCAGTAAACAATATTCCAAATGGGTGTCGTTAAACACCGGTGAAATGAGCATTCCTCGGGCGGTAAACTAATTTCAGTGAATAGTTGTAAGAGGTGAACATAATTCTAAAAATATAACATTACTTGAAAGAGAATCTGACCATACCAAGGAAGTTTCTTCTTCGGCGTGGATGCTTTACTTAACTTCAATATCGGTCAACACAAGTTTGGTTGGAGTCAAACTTTGTTTGAAATAACTGGAGCAAGAATGCGTCCAATTTCGATAAATAGTTCCACTAAACGCCTAGTTTTAAAGCCACCTTATAATTGGCTTATTCAACTAAGCACTTGGCAACTTGAGGATTAAGCCTAAGGAAATACCTATGCAACCGGATGACCAACTTGGTCATGCGGGATCCAATGAATACGTGCGCAAAACATCATAACAGAATGCGACAAAATGTTCGAGCTTGATATCATTACACTCACTGCATAGATTACCACTCATCCGTTATCGTTAATTTCTTATTAAGCTTAATAAATTTAGCCCTAAGTCAAACGCCTAGTCCGCTCGAATACACTATCCCAAATAGCATTGGCAAAAATGTGGCTGTTACACACGCCAGAAAACCGTATTAAGCCCAGATTCCCATTGGCTAAAGTTTCCTCTTGGAGCTGAGAGTCCTAAGAGTATTTATGGAAAACTAAGCGGCATGCTGCGGGTAGGTGGCAAAACTGAGACCAAACGTGATTGGATCGTTAAATATAGCTTATACCAATTGCGGAAGCCACTCACAAAGCGTATGAAGTGGGGCACAAACTTTGCTTTCACACGGGGTATTTTCTCGTTGCTCTATACCGTCGGATTATAGCAAGTGTATGAACTGATACAACTGGTAAATGCGATTTCCTTCGAGACGCTGGGCCGGATACATCGTGGAACAAACACCAGTTTGCTGACAATGCTGATCAGTCAAATGAATAAGGGATTAAACCATTATTTGGCATGTGGCTGGTTTAGTTTCAACACAAAATTCACTGTGCGCCCCTCATAAGCTAACGATTAAGAGGATTTCCTATATCCGCGCGCGTTTCCTTTACTTGTGGTTCACGCGCTCAAGAGTTTTTAAAGCTACTTGTTTTCGCTCAGACTTACTTTTCCTTGCTGTGAACCCAGGTCAGTTTGTTACCAACGCGAACCGATCGTCGGACTCATCCGATGTTCCGTCCTGCTCTAATAGCGTGCCTCACTTCTTCACTGTTTTGACACAAACTCAGCGCGCTTTCCATTAGTAGAATAAACAGAGAATAATTTATTTGTCGTGGAAAAAGCACTCAGACGCCTGCTCTCTGACCTCTTTCCAAACAGTGGGAGATTCACGAAAAACCTAAAAGTCCTGAAGAAAGCAGCATTTGAGGGCAATTTCAAAGGAAATTATTACTGGATCCACTTCGCAAGACTTGCGTCGTTTGTCTGAGTCGAATGGAACTTCTTAGTCGCGTGATCAGCAACATAAACGCTTTCGTGAATAAGAACGTAATCCTTCGTACAAAGAGTGACACATTACTCGGAATTGAAAGAAGCACTCGGAGATAAGTCATCTAAAATTGATGTGTTGACATTAAGCTCAAACCCGTAATCCGCAAAGTTTAATTTTTATGGAGTTCTGAATCGCTAAGGAGTTTAAAGGAGAAAATTCCCACGGATTTAAATTCTTTTGGACAAGTTATGGATTTACGGAATCTCTTTACTTACTATTGTTCTCTTTTGTCTGAAGAAAAAATTTCTTCCTAAACGAATCGAGGATTGTGTAACCTTTCCAAAACGGCGCTAAAACTGGAGAGTTTGTTTTTATAAACGCTTCGTGACTGTTCGGGCACAATGCAAAAATGACCGCCTACTCACAAAGTTTTAACCTACCCCCTTTTCTTTCCGGCAACCATTAGGTCCTCTTGATTGACAATGTCATTCAACTAACGAACAGCTGGTTGGGGGACTGCATTAAAGCTTAGCCCTGCTTTTCGTTTCCCAGGATTTGGGACATTTATTTCGCTTCTTTGTCAGTTTATTTGTACAAGAATACTTTCATATCAGCTGAACTAAGTGGGGTTAAGGCAGAGGTGTTTTGTTCAAGGTCGATCTTATCTAGAGATATTTATTCTTCCCTTCCGTGACTGTTTATAATTCTTAGTCCGGAGCTCTAAAATTAAGAATTAAATATTCATGTGATAAAACTTAACAAATATGCAAAACATTGGAAAACGATGTTTATCAAAACGTTTTACTATTTTTGTCGAAGCTCATCTTAACTTTGCTCTTCTAGTTTGAGATGCAATCCGTTCTGCTTTCACACAGCGTTTGTTTTTCTTTATTTTCTCTCGAGAGCAAAACTGTGATCATGTTATTTTAACGGTTTGCTTCAATTCGCATCTGCTTCTTCTCTCCCGTCAATTAAAACCCGAGAATAAATAAAAATAACAGTAAGAAATATAAATGTTGAGGGAGTAGGGGAATAACTTTGGAATTTTCAGAGAATTAGGACAAAGAAAGAAAACAAAAACAAAACAGATAGATTATAACAGGATACAAATTTGCCCCCCCCTCCTCCTACACCAGAGACATTCAGACTGATAGCAGGATAACTACTGTGTTATCCACGAAATCATTAACTGAAATTGTATTCAGTTACGT